TCTAGGCCGCCTTAAGATAATTTTTGCTTTGCATTTTTTTTCTATTATTTTCACATTTGGCTACTTTCAAAAAGAAAAAATGAAAAATGTCAAATATGATGGCGTGCCTTACCTCAAGAAATAACATCGTTGTAGGCACCTCTGTCCTAGAGGCAAACTATCTATGGATGTTGCAACACAGATTCTCCACACAGAGCTGACAACTCATTTGAAAGGAGTTCAACACTGTTAACAAGACTGGGGGTTGGGCCAGGGGGTTCATGGGTATTGCTTTATAATCAGCAGACTCATTGTGGTGCCAGAAATTCCTGAAAAAGGAAGGAAAGTTCCATTTGAACCACAGCTACTTGGGATCTCATTTGCATTCTTAAGCCGGTGCTGTGGTGCTATAAATAGAAGAGCCTATACATAGAGATGGGTTATTTCTGCCAATAGTGATTTTATTTTTTAGAAGCATCTAGAGACATTATTCATAAGGACTCATTTCTGTTCACTTTCCTGCCGAGAATTTCCCTCTCTTGACACTGTGGGTGGTCAACTTTGAAATCTGCTAATGATCCATTAGATACAAAGAATGCAGGAAGAGATATTTGTTTTTTTAAGTTAATACATGCAGGAGTCCTTTTAGTTGTAGAAAATTTTCAGGCATCTGGCTGTTATGTAAATAGGGGCATCCTTTTCAAGCCAGCATCTTTTGATTTTTTTAATCAGCTAAATTTTCTAAAGATAATTTTTAATACCCGTAGAAACTTAACGACAGTCATTTGATATGCTAACCATATTGTGACTTGTAATTGAGTATGCTATAATAGTTACAGTGCCAAAATATACAGATGTTTGCTTACACTTAGATAGGTAGTATTTTTTTAACTAAGCTTTAAAATGACTGAGTGAATGTTTTCCTACTTCGTGTTGTTGTTAAGTGTAATATACATGCATATATATGCATATAATATACATACATAATATACATACATAAAGTAGACCCTATATGGCACTAGTAAAATAAAAACCCTCTAATCGTTGTACTTCAGTGGATAAATATTGTATTTTCAGATATATGTTAGTCAAAAGCTAAAAATGTAGCCCCAAAAGAGAAAATTACAATGTCCTGGCATCCTGCTAAAGACCCAGTAGTAACTAATGCCCATCAAGCTTTTACTTTGGTGAGAAAATTTGTCTCAAGGGAGCTGACTTTTGCAGGAAGTAAGCTATGCAGGATCACATGATGACATTTTTAAAACACAGAATCACGGGCATCACTCTACATCTCCTAAATCAAAATCTCAGAGGCAAGGGCAGCACAGGAATCTGCATTTTAAAAGCCATGGGGAGATTCACTGGTAACATTCTGTGGTGCCAGTCCACAGAGCAGCTTTTAGAAGCTATTGACATTTGAATCCACATGTTACAGAGCTAAGGCCTTAAAATCCTTGCTCACTGCCTAAATTCCCTTTTCACATACCTGTGCTGTGTTTTACAAAGATTAGTTCGTGCACTTATGCTATCTTCCCAAATAAGAGCAGAGCGAGTCTTATTTATTCCATGGTACCTGGCTCTTTCCATGACATAGGTGCCCAGCAAATATTGGTTGACAGGAATTGGGATTACATTTGGTGTTATGGTTTACAGGTAAGAACTTCACTCAGAGGAAGACTTGCAAAAACAGTTTTCTATGTAGTTCACAGGTCTGTGAAGGGTAAGATTTTTAGAACTTTTTCAAATTAAAAAAGTGTATTACATGTAAATATATTCTCCCATATCTAATTATACAGGGTCCAATAAGTTCACAGGAAGTTACAACATTTAAAGTAAATGGGGTCAAGGAGGGTGACATTGTTTTAATTACTGGTTCCAAACATGGAAGGTTACCTGAGGTCCTTCAGGCTTAGGGCACTTACTTTCTTGGTCATCATTGCCAGTTGCTTCAGGGTGTGGCGAAGTATCCTTTGAGTTAAGTTAACAGCAAACACATTTGACTTGCTAGTTTTTGAAGAAGTTGGGATTTAGTAATGGGATCTTTGGCAAGATCTGACTAGGAGAAGCCTTTGGGTCCAGGTGTAATGCAGCTGGTAGCAAAAATAGATTTTATTAAAACTATTGGTGAAATATCTGGCACTCCAGGAACTATTTTGGAACTTGAAGGTACAATTTGAAGTGAAATGTATGGAGGCATCATCATCTCAGTTGGTTAAAGCTAACTCTTTCTAATGAAGTGCTGATGGAATACCAAGATGGACAAGAGGGCTCTGGACACTTGCTCATGGTTAGCGAGATAAGGTGGTCTTCCCCTTCTGCAGAGCGTTTTCTATAGAATTTCCATTTCTCTCTCTGCTCTGTCTGCCTGCTGATGTACAGATGCACGCAGTTAGTCATCTCCACGTGAATTTATAACAACCAACTTCTTCCAACACCTGATGAAAGCAAAAAGGAAATGAGGCTTGATTGATCAATAGGACATGATTAAAATTAGTGCTTTCCTCGGTTTTTAACAGAAAAGTGTCTTTCCGCATTTCAAATCTGGTTAGGTCTATATGATTAAAGCACTTATATCAATCAATATTTAGATTCGTTTGACTTCATATATGTGGCCTTCTCCTTTACTATAAAAAGACTCATTTGGTTTTTCCAGAATGCAGCTTTCAAGAGTTTTACACTCCAAGACTTTATCCCAGAATACAGATGCTTTATACTAAGCTTTCAATTCCAGGTTAGGTGAGTGGAGGTGAAATTATATGAGATTTATCCATGGCCCCCAAAAACGTTAAGTTCCTAACTAACACTTTAAGTCACACCAGAAGGTGTGACTTTCCCCAGTGCTTTCACTGTACCTTCCAGGTTGTCTGGCTATGCTTTTACCACTATTCTCGGGTGAGAAGGAGGAGCATTGGCTCAAGGGTCCTCAAAATTTTGTTTTGTAATACAGCCCCAAAATAGAAGAGTTTTTTAGGGTACTTTATAACCATCTTAGTGGCATTGATCCTTAATTTTGGACCATTTCTGAAAACCTGAGATTCTATATTTGTCCACTCTATGTAAAATACTATGCAAGTTGCCATGAAAGATATTGTGAAAAATAAGCACACTAACCCAATCAAAGGAGGGACACAGAGACTTGGAGCACAGTGAAGGGAGGCTTTAATCAACGTTCTTGCCAGAGCAGGTGTCTGATGGACAGGCATACTTGAGGCAGTTACAGCAGGCAATTTATCTCCAAGCATGCAAGTCCCTCCCCTGATTCCTCATTGGCTGAGTCCTACAGAGATTACAGCCTTACCCTGAAGTTGCCTATGCCCATGTAAGGCAAAAAGTAGTCTGATTGGAACAAATGTACATTCCCTGAATTGCCACAGAGACTTCAGTTTTTTGGCCCATGGTCATTACAAAGCCCATGAAATGGAGAGGAGGAAGAAGAACCAGGAAGTGAAGTGTCTCAGGTTTTGGGACTCCATTGTGGGGGGAAGGAGGTCGCACATATTTCCAATAGGTTCTAAACCTATTGTTAACTAGACAGCACAGCTTGTATTTGGTATTTCTGAAAATGAGTCATCTCACTTATTTCTCATAGTTATAAAATGAGTAAATTATTCGTCACCCGTGTTTGGCCCCTTAAGAGTCGAGAGAGCCTCTGAGGGTCTCAAGACCTCGCCTGCCAAAGCTAGATTTACCTGTTATCTGATACATAAGTTCTTTCCACCGTGTTTTATCCCATTTCCCCAGTCCCTTACATTGGCACTACCAGGCATCAGCTCTCTATTCTCAGCCAGGCTCTCCCTTCTGAATGGGCAGGTGCCACAAGCAGCTACATGGCAACCTCAACAGTAAAAGCCAGTCAGCTGTTTTGGCCCTGTGTTCACCCTGCACTCAATTGGTAGCATTGACACCAAGAGTGGGAGTCTGCCTTCCGCGTCAGCATAGACTGGGAATAGGGGAGGAGTGAATCTGCATAGGCAAGCTAGGGGTACCTTTACTGTTGATGTTTTTTTAATGTTTATTTATCTTTGAGAAACAGACACAGAGCACGAGCAGGGGAGAGGCAGAGAGACAGGTAGACACAGAATCTGAAGCAGGCTCCAGGGTCTGAGCTGTCAGCACCAAGCCTGCATCTCAAACCCACGAACCTTGATATCATGACCTAAGCCGAAGTCTGAGGCTCAACTGACTGAACCACCCAGGCACCCCGAGCTACCTTTACTTTAAAAGGGGGAAAAAGGGGCACCTGGGTGGCTCAGTTGGTTAAGCATCCAACTCTTGATTTTGGCTCAAGTCATGATCTCTAAGAGCACAAAGCCTTCTTGGGATCCTCTCTTTCCCTCTCTCTCTGGCCTTCTCCCAACCTCTCTCAAAAACAAAGGTTGGCAGGTGGAGGAAATAGATGCAGGGAAGGCAGAAGCACCAGATTCCTGGTCACCATCCCCTCTGGAGAAGGCATGCAGGTGGATGAGCACAGTTTTCAGCTCTGGTTTCACAGGCACCCTAGCCTGGGGCCCTGGGAGTTGTTTAGTCATTATGCTCCCCACTGTGCCTTTCTTTGTGAGCTACCTCAAGGGTGGCTGTTGGAGGACTTCTCCTCAGTGGAGGAAGCTTATCACCAGCTTGAAATTCTCCGCAGGTTGCATCTAAGACATTTTCTTCTAATAGACATTTGAAGCACTTTACTAAGGCAGCGCCACACATATTTAATGAAGTCCTAAAAAGGCACCTAGTGCGCAGTAAAAGGTGAGGTAAATCAAAAATAAAAATAGATGGCTTAAAATAGAATTCTTGGCCTCAGGCAAACTATAAAGCTGCTAATCTGCTTTCAATGTGAAGTGCACAGCTACAAATACTTCACAGTTGAAAAACACTGAGAAAGGAAGACAAGGTGCAGCTTTTATTTTATGTGTGTGTGTGTGCGCACGCGCGCACGCGTGCGTCCGAATGAATGCACGCGCGAATCCACCTGTGTGTAAAGGATCATTGTTTTCTGATTGGTTTTATAATTCCTTTTCCCTTTTCAGTGACAGTGAAAACTGGTTTTGTGAGTGTCCAAGGCTGTACTCAGGCAGGATGTGCCAGTTTGCAACCTGTGAAAACAGTCCATGTGGAAACGGTGCCACCTGTGTTCCTAAATCCAGGATAGATTCCCTCTGCCTATGCCCTTATGGGAGGTCTGGGCTCCTCTGCACGGAAGGTAAGAGTATTTGATTATTAAGCATTGAGCACCGCAAAAGGAGATGAGGAGCATAGAAGTCACTCACAGAAATCAAGGACAGCACCTGACTGATCAAATATGTCTAATCATTTCCTTGGTTCTTTCCAAGTCAATCGAGACAAGACCTGTTAATGAGACTAATCCCTGAGCATGTATTTCTCACAGCCATCGTGTAATTACAAAGGAGGTAATGAGTTTACCCTGAGGTTAGACTATGGAAAATCTCTGTAGTATAAAATCTCAAAGTCATTCTAATGCTCAGAGTAACAAGGAAAATCAGATGCAATACATGAAATCAAAATATTTGATGTCATTTTGGAAAACTGAGGCAACAATATTAACAGATCTCTGTATTGTAGACCAGTCATTTTTTGTTTAAAGACAATAAACCCCGTGATACAGTTATTATATAGCAAGAAACAAAATCACAAATAATACCCATGTGGCTCTCCTTCAGAAAATCCTAAATTACAAAAAGGTACAAGATGCTATAAGATTGTTTTAGGAAGCAGCTTGCCAAAGAATGTAATGTTAGCTTTGATATACAGAAATAAATATCAATTTAAATCTTTCTAGAAATAATTAAAAGTATTTGGTATTAATATTTTATCAACTCAGGGTAGGAATTGTTTCATCTTTATTTTGCCCACAAAAATTTTTAAAAACAAAGTCTACCCCTTTGGTGCTAGTGGTATTTGTTACCAAATTCTGGAGTAAGTCTACCAAAATGAGCACAGGTCCCTATGCCCCAGGTATACAACAAAACAAACAGATCTTACCTGCTCCGACTCATCAAAAAGTTGGAGCACCACACCCTGATATAACAGGTGTGAAAATTGAAATGACTGAAAAAAGAATTCATAACTAAAAAGTATTGAAAGGAGGGAATTGAGACAATGGATTTTTATGTAGCTGGGAGAAGGGGAGTTAAGAAGTACTGAGTTTCATTCTCTATGTGGAAGGTTATATTAGAAGTTAGCCAAGTCATTTTGTAATAAGAAAAGGTATCATAGACTGGATGGAATTGAAATTTTGTCCTTTCCAATAAAAACCTCATGCTTCTTAGATAGAACCATTCTATCAAGCTATTGAAAAATACAGTTGGTCACAAAAATTTTTATTACTAAAGGGTGAATCATCAGTTTTGCTTCCTAGTTGAAAATCAGACTTACCACATGAAATAAGAAGTGAAGATTTATAAGAACGTCTTCACATATTTACAAAAAAAAATTGTTTTCTCCTATCTTTTGGTCTCATTAGGGCTCAGAGATGCAGCAACTTATATATTATTGAGACAAGAAATATTAGACAAAATTTGTTAGACTCTCTGTTTCATTGTAGGTAAGAAGGAATTCCTACATGCAATCCAGAGGAATTTCTCAAAACAGTTAGCCTATCCATTAATATATTCCACAAATGTGCCAGAGTAATTTGAGATTCCTACCCTCATGGAGCTTTTCTTCTAATTGAGAAGATTAAAAGAATAAAAATGGCTCAAGACACAATATAAAGTGTATGAAAAGATTTATGAAGGAAATAAACAAGGAGCATAGAGAGTAAGCAGGGTGGGGGGAGCGAGGGTACTGTTCCAGACAGGTGCTCATGATAAGAGCGACTCCAAAAAGGGCGAGACTGTGCTAAAGCCTATAGAATGCAGAGTATGACCTATGAAAACCAGGAAAACAACTATTAGAGCAAAAGTTTCAGAAAAATGGAAGACCCTCAAGAGAGATAGAACCTACCTTTTTTGAAGAATGAAAAGGTGCTAGTCTAGCAGAGCATATGGAGCAAGAGAGAAAAGCATATCTGACGTGAGCAGAGCCTACATCATGTAGGGTCTCAGGCACATGGGAAGGTTTATTGGCTTTTAATTCTCAGTGCCTTAAGAAGCCACTGGAAGATTTTATTTTATTTTTAATTTTTATTTATTTCTGAGAGACAGAGACAGAGCATGAGCGGGGGAGGGGCAGAAAGAGAGGGAGACAGAATTTGAAGCAGGCTCCAGGGTCTGAGCTGTCAGCACAGAGCATGATGCGGGGCTCGAACGCACAAAAACTGTGAGATCATGACCTGAGCTGAAGTCGGACATTTAACCAACTGAGCCACTCAGGTGCCCCGCCACTGGAAGATTTTAAAGAGGCAAGTGGTGTATATGTATTTGTTAAAACAATTCTGACTGCAGTATATTGATTTTAAAAGGCTTTTGTCAGTGACCCTGATGAGAGAGAATTTTGCCTATGACCAGGATGATGGTGGTGGAGATGGAAATAAGTAGATGAATTTGAGATCTATTCTGGAGACAGAACTGATAGAACTTGCAGGGAAGTGTTTGAGAAGTGCTGAATCAAGAACATCTAGATTTCTCTATTTGTTTGGACTATGGGTAGATTATAGTGCCATGAGGAGGACTGAGGGCATAACAGGGGTTTTATAGGGCATCATTGGGACGTAAACAAGAGTTTTATTGGGTACAGATGAAGGAAGAGATACCTGTTAGATATCGAAATGGAGAAGACATGTAGGCAATCAGATAAATGATCCTCAGGCTCAGGGGAAAGAAAGGTCATGACTAAAGATACAATTTGGAGAGTCATCAAAATAGAGGCAGTGGTCAACACCATAGAACCAGAAATTGTCTGAGGAAAAGGTATAGACAAAGAGAAGAAGAGGGCTGAGGACCAACCCCCTCCAAGATTCCAATATTTAGGGAGAGTAAAGGAGAGAAAGCCATGTGAAGTACCAGTACCATCCCCCAGACAAGCATCCCCCCCCATCATCTTTCAGCCCATAAATATCACTCCTCTTGTGATGTTGCATTGTATTAGCCTAAGTTCCCCCATCAAAGCAGAACCTGGATAAAGAATTACATTCAAGTAGTTTATTTTGGAAATGATCTCAAGAAACAGGAGTGTAGTAAAGACTTGGAATAAAACAGGAAAGGGGAGACAGTACAGAGGTGTCTTATGGAATTGAGTCAGGGACAGCTATTATTGATTCTCCTGGGACCTTATGAGGAACTATCTAAAATGAGTCTCAAAATTGTCTGCTCTTATGAGGAAGTATATAGAATGAGTCTGAGAATTGCCTGCCCCAAGGGACAAAAGAGAGAAGCATTTAACCATTGACTCGTGGTTCCTTTTGATCGAGGATTGCTCTACAGGACCTTAATTTTCCCACACTTCTCCATTGCCATAGAAAACTGGCAAGTGTGCAAGCTCTTGCAGGCATCTCAGGCAGGCCAAAGCACCAGAGAAGCTGGGGATCAAGGAAGGAGTGCTTAACATATCAACATTCCCTAAACAATCACGAAAATGCCCACTCAAAGTGTCAGCTCCCTCCAGGAATCATCTTTGCATCCAGCAGGCATCAAGGCTTTCTTTACTCCCCCAACTAGCATGAGGTAGTGCCCCATATCATTTCTTAGACCATTCACTGGTCAGTCTCATGTCCAGGAGATTTCTCTAGAACATGCTGAATCTGTATCTATTCAATAGAGAAAAGCATAGAACTAACTGATAAGCATAGTTGTTGCCCAGTTGCAAGTACACGTGAGAAAAGGCACAGAATAGTATCCAAAACTCCCTTTTTATCTTTGCCTTTGTGTTAATACCAGAGGATAAAAAATCAGCTAGTTTTATCAGCAGTTGTCTTTGCTACATAGCACTTTTCTTTTAGATTATAGCCATATCTACCATACTAATATATTCTTTGGGGGATAATAGAAAATATAATTACGACATTTCCTACCTTGTTGATGTTTCCACTGGGGAATTCATTCCGAGGCAATCATGGCAGTGGTGATGGGAGCCAAAATAAACAAACACTGCAAATGGAAAATTCACAGCTGCCTTCCTTTGTAAAGTGCTTTACTCTCCACACTTGTGCTTCTCATTCACACTTCCTGTTGCCTCTTTCTATGCAGGAATAATCTCTTCTTGTTTTCTTAACCACATCATTTTAAAGGCAGGGGGGCAGGGGGACACTTTATCTTATGTCTTGCCCTCTCTGTCTTTTCTAAAAATATGGCTTAATTTACCTTATCTTCCCCACCTACAGCTCTCAGTGGAACGTGGCTTTTGAAGAAAGCAGTGTAACATGCAGATTAAGAGCCTAGGCCCTGGAATCAGTGTGACTAGGTTAAAATCCCCATTCTACTACTGACTAGACTATGGTATGATCTTGGGCAAGTCACCTGATCTCTCTGTATTTCACCTTCAAGGGGTCTAATAATAGAACCTAAATTACAGAGTTCATGAGAATTAAAGGAGATAATTCATGTAAATTGCTTAACACATCACTGGACATATAGAAAATACTTTTTATAAGAGAGTTCAAACCAGGCTTCTGATACTCACAGAGAAATGCCGTATCTTGTCATTATGGGAAAGAAGGCTGGATTTCCATCCTCCCTAGAAAGAAAACTCTATAGAATGTCAAAAGAAATCAAAATTAATTTCCTTTCAAGAATTTTTCTAAGTTGGTGACACTCTTCATGGTGACTGGAGACAAGCCAGGGGTATTACAAAGTCAGGTAGGAAAGCAGCGCTCCAGGGATACAGATAATCACCAGGCTATTTAAGGACATGATACCTCTATAAAGCAGCTTAATGTCAGGCTGGCATTTTGTAATGGCATATTTCAAGTACATGTAATTTTGTCATGTAAGCTCGTAACTCTTTTGATAGCATCCACTCTGATATGATCCAGCTTTTTCTCTCCGACTCAACAGCTGTTTGATTACCCTGCTGTTCAACCCATCTCAATATCCCTCATTTCTCTCCATGTTTAAATTCTATATTTTCCAGCTCCTGGTTACAAAGAAATGTTAAAAGATCAAGCCCAACCCCATAGGGGAACAAGGAGACAGGGGTGATTGTGGCCACACAAGAAAGCACTCAGGAAAGTAATTCCTCTTGCTTAGGGTTGAAGGCAACCTTTGAGCGTCCTGCATTTTTTCTTCCTTAAGAACTGAGGGAATT